CGCTTGCCAGCTGCATGGGCTTTTGGCAAGCTAGGAGACTTCCTGGACGTCAGTCTCTTTATAACACAAAGGAAGAAGCCAGGCATGGTGATGCACACCTATCATCTCAGCATTCTGAGACTGAGGCAGGAGGATCATAAGTTCAAGCCCAGCTTGGGCAACTTAGTGACTTAGCAAAGCCTTATATCAAAACTAAAAATTTTGCTGGGTATAGTGATGCATGTCTGTGATCCCAGCACTTGGGAGGCTGGGGAAGGAGAAGTGCCTCAAGTTAGAGGCCAACCTGAACTACATAGTGAGATCCTGTCTCAAAGAAACCAAAAAGAATTTTTTTTAATATTTAAGAAAGGACTGCCAGTTGGGGATAGAGCTCAGAGGCACAGCACCGGCCTGGCAAGCACAAGGTCCTGAGTTCAATTCCCATTACAAAAAAAAAGACTGTCCATTATGGTTCAATGCGAAGGCTCTGGGTTCTATTTCTAGTACCATTAAAAAAAAAAACATCAAAATAACAAAATAATGAAAAGTCAAATAACCCAACTAAAACATGGCAAAGGACCTCAATAGACATTTTGCCAAAGATTATACACAAATGAGCAACAAGTATATGAAGAGATTATTAGTCATTGTGGAAACATAAATCAAAGCCCCACTGAGATGCCGCTGTACATCAGTTAGGATATTTATTATTAAAAACAACAACAGCTACTGTCATAAGCTTTGACAAAGATGTGGAGACACTGGAATCTTAAACATTGTAAGGGAGGGGCTGGGGATTTAGCTTAGTGACATAAGCGCCTGGCTGGCAAGTGTGAGGCACAGAGTTTGAGTCCCGGCCACCTCCCCTTGAAAAACCATCATATAAGGGGCTGGGGATTTAGCTCAGCGGCATAAGCGCCTGCCTTGCAAGCAGGCAGTCGTGAGTTCAATCCCTGGTACCAATAAAAAAGAAAAAGACAAAAAAAAAAAAAAGTAAAAGAAAAACCATCATATATCGATTCCTCCAAAAATTAAAAACAGAATTTCCGTATGTCCTAGCATTCCCACTTTTGGGTACATACCAGTAAGAATTGAAAGCAGAGATTTGGAGGGATAGTTGTACACTTAGGTTCACAAAACCATCATTCACAACAGCCAAGAAATGGAACCCAACCCAAGTGCTGAAAGTTGATGGGCAAACAAAATATAGTGTGTATATATTCAATGGAGTGCTATTTAGCCTTAACAAGGAAGGAAATGCTGTCATAGATATTACATGGATAAGCCTTGCGGGCATTATGGTAAATGAAATAAGTCAATCACAAAAGACTATATGATGCCAGCGTGAACTACATAGCAAGACCTTGTCTCAAAAAAATCAGAGAGACAAAAAAAAAAAAAAAAAAAAAAAAATCAGAGAGACAGAAAATAGGGAGTGACCAGGGGCTGAGGGGAGGGGGGTGGGGGAGTTGTTTGATGGGTACAAGGTTTCATTTTATAAGATCTGTGGTGTGAGTTGTCTATGTTTAACACTACTGAATTTTATTATACTTAAAAATGACTGAGATGGCACAAAAAGCTCTGCCAAGAGGTTTTAATGAGATGAGGGAGTTGAAAGACGAACGGTGACGGCGCGATCCTGGGGAAGAGCCAGTGTGCTGGGAAGAGAAGAGGCGTGGGAGACGGGGACAGCAGTGGGGCTGGGTCCTGGTGCTGAGTCCTGGGCCACAGTGCAGGTTTTCTCAGGCACCTCAGACAGCCTTGGAACAAGGGCTTGCTCTTTCTTGGTGGCTTTCAAGAGGCCTACATCACTTCAGCTTTTCAAATTCATCACCTTGAACCTTCTTGAGTGTAGCAGGTCTCAGCCTGTCCCCAGCACTGGCCTGAGAGAAGCCCAAGGGCAGCCTGGCTGGTTCTCACTGCTCTCCCTGCTGCGCCTGGGAAGCCTGGGAGGTAGATCCCCAGGCTGATTCCACAGCCAGGTCCCAGGGGACGGCACCCCACAACTGCAGGACATGGCTCTCACACGCAATCATGCCGGTCAGTGGGGGTCCAGGAGCCCTCTAGAGGCCGTGGTTCTCAGAATTTCATGGAGTCTCCCTCAGGCCTAAAGGGCCAGACTTTGCATTCCTGGCTAGATGTCTCTTCCACCCAAGGCTGAGTCGGGGAAGACCATGGGACAATGTTGTCTCAGGCACAGGGGCTGAGACTGAGGGTGGAGGCAGCTGCCACCTCCAGAGACATTCTACAACCTCCAGGCACAAAGATCTAGGTCAAACCTAGTTGTCCTAAGCCCTCACCAGGCCAGGGAAGGGACCCCTGCCTGCCCTCAGTGGCTGAGTTGGCAGCCCAAAGCTAGGGCCCCTACTTCCTGGACTAGGCCTATCCTGAAGATCCCAGGCTCTAGTATTACTTCGGGTGCCACTAAAGCTCTTGAGATAGTGTAGAAGGCTTGAGGATACCAGGCCCCTAGGGATCCCACAGGATCTCAAAGCCTGCTTAAATATCATTGAGACCAAGTCCCAGTTCCCACTTGACCTTCAAGGTTCTTTGCGTTCTGGGCTCAGTGGCCTCTCCCCTTTCATCCCACGCTCCCTTTCCCTCCCCCTGGCCTGCAGCCCCCCTGGAGCTTCTCACCCTTCCCCAGCATGGAGCCGTTTCCTGAATGCCCCACCAATGAGGTCACTGCCCCACTTTCTCAGGATGGGGTACATGCCTATTACAAGAGCAGGGAGGGTGTCTTCACAGCTCTCTCCTTGGCTCCTAACACCATGGTCATCCAGCCTGATAAATACTTGTCAACCAGGAAAAATGGTTTTGTGATGAATGGGATCATTAGGCAAGTCTAAAATGTACCAATACGGGGCCAGGGGTTTAGCTCAGTGGCGTAAGTGCCTGCTTGGCAAACTTGAGGTTGTGAGTTTGATCCTCAGCACCCCAAAAAAGGAAAATGTACCAATAAAATATGATTTTAAAAAAGAAAAATGGATATATGACTCTTCTTCTTGTGTTTATGGCTAATTCTACTACGCTCCCAAAGGTTCCCATAGCCATGGTCTCTCACGGTAGCATGCCCCTAAGTGCCAGATGTGTCACGTGGTTCTGTGCACAGGTGTTCACACGTCCCTTTCACAGATGAAAAAATGATTACACTCCTGTAATCCCAGCACTTGGGAAGCTGAGGCAGAAGAAACATTGCAAATTTGAGACCAGTCTGGCCTCAAGGCCATTCTGAACTGCATAGTGAGATGCTGTCTCAAAAAAAAGGGGGGCTGGGGATTTAGCTCAGCAGCAAAAGCACCTGCTTGCAAGCAGGCGGTCGTGAGTTCGATCCCCGGTACCGATAAAAATGAAAAAGACAAAAAAAAAAAAAAAAAAAGAAAAGAAAAGAAACGGAGGCTCATAGAACAGTGATGCTCACAGGTAAGAAGGGCACAGCCGGGTTTGGATCCAGGGCTTGAGCACATCTTGCTGTAGCCTCGTGTGTGGTACTCTATCACAGTGGCAGCAGGGTGGAGAATGAAAGGTCACCCACATTCTGGGAATTCTCACTCTACCCAGGGATCTGTTATATCTGTGCTGAGGGGAAGGTGAGGTGCCTGAAAGATGGGAAGGGTGGTGTCCCTACTGAGAGCCTGGGGTCCCTGGAAGACCTGATCCTGAGGGCCAGCCCCCTTGCTCCCCCCCCTCCCACAAACAGCCTTAGGGAGGGGCCTAATGAACAGGTCTGCTAATAAATGATGGAGGCTTTCACCCAGGTCCTGCAAGGCTGGAGAACAAGGTACCCTTGACCTCCTCATTCTGCTCAGCTTGTACAGTGGCTTGGGAAAGCCCCAGGCTGCCATCCTCGGGGAACTCCTCCCAGCCTGGGGCTCTCCCTGGCTACTTTACAAGCTTTGTTAAGCAGCCAACCTAGATGCACACACAATCTCCTTCTCCCAGCATCCCGGAGATGCTTTCATATCCTTTACCCAGGAGCTAGTTGAGGCACTGGAAATTACAGAGGTCAAAGTCAGTTATTGTACACAAGCTCCTAACACTATGCCAGATTGCTTCTCCCCCTTCCTGAAAGGCTCCAAAGAACACAAGTCTCGCACCCACCTCATCATGCCACCACAGTCCCAGAAACTAGTAAATTAGTTCTGCAATTCTTATTAGTGAGTTCAGCCCATATGTAACAAGAGAGTAGCTACAAAAACATTCTTGCTCTTTGCTCCAAGTATTTATTCTGGATGGAGAATACACTCCAGGGAGAAGGGAAAAACGCAGCAAAACTAAAAAGACAAAAAAAAATTGCATTCACAGAGTTGTCCATAGAGATTAAATTACTAATTGCGAAAACCTCTGGAAACAATCCAACTTCACAATTAAAGGACAAGGGCATCCTGGGGTGCGTTTGATTATGTGGCGAACACTATGTGGACCTTAAACATAACTTATAGTCAGTTTGTGTGCACTTAAAAATTAAACAATGTAAAAGCAAAACACAATTTTTACTTCAAAAATACTGCATGAACAAGGCTTACCTATGCTATTTTCCCCGTTCCTTTTAGTTTATTATTTTTTTAAACAGGATCTCTGTACCCCAGGCTGCCCTCAAATTCACAGCTGTCCTCCTGCCTCGGCCTCCTCAGTACTGGGGTTATAGACATGTACCACTACACCTGGCTCCCCGTCTTTTAAAGAATAATAATTTTAAAAAATTATTTTCGGTGGTACTAGAGTACTGGGGATTGAACCCAGAGAGCTTTGCATTGAGTTACACCACCAGCTGTTATTATTTATTCATTTATTTTGCTTTGAGACACAGTCTAAGTTGCCCAGGCTGAGGAAAGGCTGTAAAAGTGAAGGCTAAAAAAACAAAGCCCAGAGCGGGTAATTCACATCCTTCCCCAAGACATGCTTCCGAGCGTCTTGGCTGCATCTGTCCAGTCTAGCTCCAGTTTGGCTGCCCCCTGGTGAGGGGAAGCGAGGTGTCAGGGCAGAGGGAAAGCCCCCTGAGAGAGAAAACCCGCACTCACCTGTTCACAGGCCAGGACGCAGTCTTCTAGGGCCCAGGGCCCAAAGCACGTGCCTAGGGGCTGCGGACAGTGGACACCAGGCAGAAGAGGCTATGGCTGTCCCAGCCCACTGTGCAGGCTTCCTATCTGAGGGGACGACGGGGAAGCAAGCCACTGCCGCTCCAACTAGACCAGAACTGGAGCCAGCGAGGGCGGGGCGGGGCCACGTGGCCCCAGCCTGCCTCAGAGTAGAAAGGATCAAACCCAGAGAGCAGCCAGCGGACAGCTCTTAACTGGCTGGGTGTGGCGGGGGTCCCCCTGAAACCAACCCTGGTTTCCTGATAGGCACTAAGTGCTGTACCAAAGGCCTGCCTGGTCCGTGCAGAACACAAGGCCCTGACAAAACAAAACCCTTATCACAGAGCTGCAGACGGCTGATGTAAGTAGACTGGAGAGGGCATCAGGGCATCCAGGGGCATTAGGTGAAGAAGGCCTTTCTCTGCTATCTCAGACAGGACCCCATTCTACAGACAGGACTACCATTCTACAGGCTGGTCACATATCTTACCCAAGATTCCACAATTGGCAGTTGAGATCTAACCCCAAAGCCTCAGACACAGCCCTGTGGGAACTCCTGCAGGTGCCCTGTCGCTCAGCCACATCAAGGCATGGATACATTGCTTTGCTGGGTCGGAGTAACCAGGTTCTGTGGGACACACAGGCATTGCACCACAAATTCTAGTGAGTTTTCATAGCAAGCACTGCAATTTTCCTCAACTTTATCTCGTGTATTTAGGGGCAGTAAATCACAATGGAGCTTGGGGGGGGGGGGCCTGTGTCCAAACTACCCAAGAACTTCCCTGAACATAAGCACAGAACTCCCCTTTAGGGGTCCAGCATTACATGTAGGAATGCTGGGCTGGACCAAGACTTTCTAAATGTCAATGAATGTAAGTTGGTTTTTGTTTTTGTGGTAAGAAATGCTCTTAACTATATGGAGAAAACTGGATTCTCTGAACTTGCAGCAGGACCATCTGCCTACGCTGGAATGTGCCCAGCCAGGTCCCCACCCCTGCCCCCAGCATTGGCCACCGGGCCACAACCTCCATGCAGCCCTGAGCTCTGCCAAGGCTGATTCAAGCAGCTCGTGGGAGGGCAGAGGGGGAGGAAATGGGGACCTGCCAGGGGATTCACAGAAGCCGGGGCAAATGCCACTGTGGCCCTTAGGGCCTATTGACTTGGGACAATGCCTTCCAAAGCACCCCATACAGTGCAGTGGCACAGGATGGGGGTGCTTACGGTGTCCCAGCACCATGCTTCAGACCCTCCACCCCGACACTTGGCAGTCTCCCGTTACCACGCCCCAGGTCAGTCTTGCTTCATACATTTTACATAGGAAACTCAGATCCAGCCTAGAGGTGGACATCCAGTGCTTGGCAGGTGTAGTAGTGTTTCTGACTTATGTGCTCTTCCCTCCAGTTACAGCATCAGCTCTGTAAAGGTGAGTCCTTAGCGCCCTTCTAACAGTAATGCATGCCAACAACCCAGTGTCCAAGACCTCTCGGGAGACTGTCACATGTTAGTAGCTTTCATATATTTATGGCCCAAAAGTAGCTTGTGAGACCCCCCCCCCACCTCGACATCCTCATCAAAAGCAACTTTCATTCCAAGATTCCATTTGTAGTCAGAGAAAGGGGGGCGTTCCGTTGGGTGATCTGTGGATTGCAAATCTGAGGATTAGGCTCTGGCAGGCAGGCAGAGGCTGGGAGCTGAGAGGTGCTTAGGCCTCTGGTTCAGAACCTGAAGGTGGGGACAGAGTAGTTGGATGTGGCGTGAGCTGGGCTATGATGGTACTAAAAATCGCCCTTCAGCTACTTGCAGTGGGCTCTCCCAGCCTCTTTTCCAAAATCAGAAGTTCCAAACTTTCTTTTTTATAGCATTTGATTCAATTTGAACAAACAGCAATGTTCCCTGCCTCCCCATTATAACTTGGGATTTCCATGTCTGATCACTGAGTCATGGAGAAATCCTCAGATCACAAAATTGTTTTTGATTTTTTGAGGTCAGGCTGGCCTCAAGCTTACTTTGTAGCCCATTTCTGATGCTCCTGCCTCAGTCTCCTGAGTGCTGGGACTACAAATGTGCACACCTGACATCATGGAATTTCTAAGGGACCTGGAGTCTATTCTGATAGACAGTTCTAATGTCCAGCTGGGGTGAGAGCCACTGTTGTTTCCTACCAATTCCTGACCTGAAGTCCCACCTCCTCTCCAATTTTTAACCAAGATCTTCTGACTTTCCCTACGTCTAGAGCTGTGCCTGTTTGCCGAGTTAGTCAGACATGGGCGCCCAAGTGCTTCTGAAACTCATTGCTGTGTGCTGACTCAGTCACTCACTGTCTCAGAGGGACAGTGACTGCTAGGAGCAGAATTTGATGGGCAGGGGTGTGCTCGGTGAACACCCTCTTCCAGGAGCTGGCAAGACTCCTGTTGGCTTTTCCAAGCTTTTCAACAAAGAGCTCTCACTTGTACTGGTTCAGACTGTGACAGGGATGCTTCAGATGCTGTGTTGTCTGTACCTGCTGATGTCAGTTCACCCAAATGTCACATAAGCCCTCCATGTTGGACTTATAGGTCCCCAAATATAAACCACCCAGTGAAGCAGTATTTACCATGTTCCTACCAGAGTCATCTGTTCCCCCTACATTATTTTTCTGGATAAGCCTTGATTTCAGCGAGATATTTCTTCTGAACTGTTGATACAGCCAGCCCTTGAAAATTAATTTTAAGGATGCAATAAGCTTAAAATATGCACATACAATATTTCATAGGCAAATGACAAGTAGAGTGACTCATGCAAACATTTTTAGTTCAAATAGAAAGCAGAATTTAGGAACTGAAAGAAATTTGAAAGCCAGGTTGATCCCATCGGAAAAATGCCTCAGCGTTTCTGGCTGTGGTCATAAGCGGCCACATCCTGGAGCCTCGCACTGTCTTTGTGAGACAGCAAGTGCCGAGCTCCTTTCTCAGCCTGAGCAGTTGTCCTGCCAGCAATACATTTACACAAACCAAGAAAAGCAACATTCCAGCCACAGTTCAGCTCGAACCCCTTCCCCTCAAGGAATGCTGTTCTTGGCAAGAGATCTTCCAAAGGAAAGAACATCTGCAGAACCTCTGCCCCTGAGGTCAGGGGAAAGCTGAGACAGCTGAAAACTTTGTGGTCCCTTCTTAGATCCAAGTCACGGGGGCTGAGCAGAGAAGCAGGGTGGGAGCAAACCCGGCCAAAGGCAGAGGCCTTGGGGTTGCAAGATTTCCCTCTTTTGAGTTGTTGAGCAGCCTGGTGAGTTCTGTAAGGCTGGAGACATTGTCCTCTTTACCTGGTCCTTCAATCTAGTCATATGAACCAATTAGGTCCTCTTACCAGCTACACAGATGAAGCTTAAACTCTAGCCCCATCCAATGGCTAAATATTTATTAAACATCTTTTGTAAGTCACGAGGCAGCAGCAATGAACAAGATTCATTTACTCAACATACTCAAGCCTCATTCCTGCTGCTGGCACTTCAGAAATGTCACTTGCCAGAGCCCTTCCTCTCGAGGACAAGCACACTGATGGGTGGAATGCAGAGAAAGTTCAACAGGACAATTCCTGCTTTTACACACTGGTGTTTTTTTTTTTTTTTTGAGACAGGGTCATGGTCTGTTATAGGCTACCCTCAAACTCAGTGATTCTCCTACCTCAACCTCCCAAGTGCTGGGACAGGCATGTGCCACCACACTCAGCTCTATAAATTCTTCCTGTCAAACCTAAGTATGAACAGGCTAGGAACAAGGAGCCACTGTTCAACCCTGCTGAGTGCCTCCGACAATGGCATGTCACCATCAATTTGGCAGAAACATTCCCAAATGCAATTCAGAAGTTCCATCTCCTATGCAAATCCATGAGCTAAGTGAGAACAAAAAAAGAAAAAGGTATGTTACTTATGGATTTAATCCTGGCCAAATCTACATTTCTACTGACGACTCTAAAACCAAGTCATGATTAAACAGTGACTTAGTTCCAAAGGATGGCATCAGGAAACCTCTGTGCTGGACTGTGGGCTGCTCAGAGGCTGCGTCTAATCACCTGTGTTCCTGATTCCCACCAATTATAGCTGTAGAGAGGCAGCTCTGACCATTTAGGTAGCTGAGCAGAGGCAGATAAAACAGTATTTTACTATGTGCAGTACTGAGCGCAGTAGTGAGCTCAGGTTTCTTCAGGTTCAATGCACTGAAGGACTGCTGGAAAGACTGGAGCTTCCCACACAGCCAGGCAGGAGGAATTTCCAGGCGTGGGCTGGAACATTTCTCAAAGTGGGTCACTTCCGGTCAGCAGGCTCAGCGTTCCCTTACACTCACCAAGGCTAAGATATAGCTGCGCATGCACACACACACACACGCACAGGCACAGGCACAAACACACTCATCCACTACCTCTCAACAGGGGTCCCACACACTCACTTTCCAAAGACAGGCTAGTACCAGGGTTCATCTGTATTTCCTGACTTGTCCAAGTGGTCATAGGGCAAGGAGCCAAGGAAGTGAAGGAAACATCATTAAACGATACTGCCCAGCAGAGAATCATTCTAAACTCATCACTCCAAGAACACAGAGTAGAAAAGGAGCTGAGATGGAGGGAGAAGTATCAGCCACCTCACATAAGTGACAATAGCGGGAGATGTCTGCACGGTTAGTGAGCTCAAAGTTCACCTGCACAGTGAGGGACCAGAAGAAGTCAAAGCACCACAATTACGGAGCCAACCACCGGACGCCTCAAAGGGGAGAGTGGGGGTTGTAGCTCAGTGGCCCAGTGCCTGCCTGGCATACATGAGGTCCTGAGTTTGATTCCCTCCACAAAAAAGTCCAAAGAGGTACCTGGAAGGCAGAATAAAGAGGCTTAAATCTCCAGCCTGTATTCTCATACCCAGAAAAAGATACAACAGATAGCAGCCACCTTGAAAACCAGGTTTGTATTTCTAGGTAAGTTCCAAAGGAGAACTCAGGAACCTTACTGCATCCAGCCTGGTCCCAACGTAGCTTGTCGCCCTCCTGCAAAGTAACATTGTACAAAACTGTATTTACAAGAAAACCAGTTAAAAATGAAGAATGTGTACAAAAGTAGACAAGAAGTACCAATGCAGGACAGCTTCAGAACGAGGGAGCCTCATGCTCCATACTGGTGATGTCTCATGTACTAGGCAGGGAGAAGACAGCGAATCTCAGTGCCCATTTTAGAAGGAACCATTCGGTCAGTCAGTCAGTCATTCCAAGGGAAGAGACGAGGCGGAAAGAGCTACTAGCACTGACACTGCAGTCTTAACTATCCAGTCATCTTTGTCTTGCCATAGGGCAGAAGCCTGGTTGGGGTGGGGGGAGGCGATGCAAACAAACACAGTCTCTAGAGCAAGTCCTACACAGTACAGAGCTCAGAAGGCGTAACGAGTCCGGATATCCTCAAGCTTCTTGGACACCTCAGGTGGAGTTCGATCCAGTTCTTCAGACACATTCTTTTGCTTGTTGGGTTCCATAGAGTTGAACTGTTCACAGAGGTCTCCATCAATCACATTCTAAGACACAGAGGAGAAAAAAGTTAGACATCCAAAGAAAAGGGTACACATCAAAGTAGCAGCTGTGGGAGCCTTTTTATACTCTCGCCAGGCAGCGAACCCCATTTGTACAGTGAAGGACAAATTCGAAACTGATGCTGAATAACCAGTGTTCAAAGTGCCAAAATCGGGCTGGGGATTTAGCTCAGCGGCATAAGCACCTGCCTTGCAAGCAGGCGGTCGTGAGTTCGATCCCCAGTACCGATAAAAAAAAAAAAAACAAAAAAAAACCAAAAAAAACGAAGTGCCAAAATCTGGTGCAGCCTTTCCTCCCTTATCTGCTCCGCAGGTTGAGGTCCTGCAGTATCACTAAGCTCATGTGGCCATCACTGCCTCCATCAACCCACTCCTCCTTGCTGCTCCTCCTCTCTAGACTGCTCTGACTTTTAAGAAACAGGGACCCACAGAAAAAGGCTGAGGGGAATAGTTATCCTTTCCCATCCAGATTCCCCCCCATCTACCTTAACAGGGAAATAATAGGAGCGAAAGCTGAGGTGGTCCCGCCCACAGAGAGGGGGATGTTCAGACCGCAGGTGCATTTCTACATGCTGGAAGAAGTCATGGTCCTGGTGAAAGAAGCAAAGAATATATTACTGATTTGTTTTATAAAAAGTGTTCTCAGATGTGGTACTACACACCTATAATCCCAGCACTCAGCAGGATGAGGCAGGAGGGCCACAAGTTTCATGCCAGCCTGGGTTACAGTGAGTTCAAGACCAACATCATACAATACCCTGTCTCTAAAACATAACCTAAAAAGGCCTGGCACAGTGGTACATACCTGTAATCCCAGCATTTGGGATGCCAAGGTAGGATCACTGAACTACACAGCAAGTTCAAGACCAGCCTGAACTACACAGCAAGACCTTGTCTCAGAAACACAAAAATCCCAACACTCAGGAGGCTGAGGCAGGAGGATTGCTCTGAGTGTGAGGCCAACCTTGGTTATAAAGTGATTTCAAGGCCAGCCTGAACTGCATAGCAAGACCTCTCAAAATGACCAAAAATAAGTAAATAAATAAATATCTCAACTTCTATAAGTTTCCAAAACACAATGAACAGACAAATCACTAACTTACCACACACCTGACCACTCTTCTGATGCTCACAGGTAAGTTAACTTCTGTTAAGCAGGGTAGCTAAAACTCAAAGGAACCTCATTTATGGTATAAACGAGAATGTCATATGCAAAGAATGACCTCTAAGGTCAGAGTCCTGATCCAGATTTCTTGGGACAAACCAAATTTAGCCAGTCCTATAACTGATTCCATGAGATACTGATTCTTTCAGGGTTGATAATCCCACTATCCCATATTGTGGCGCTCTCCTCGGGCTCTGGGCTTAGAACAACCTTGTTATCTCCATCAGAACTAGTACAGTACAGATGAACGACCGTTCTCTGGAGCAAATGCACTCAGGATTCCTATCTCCTCTGGACTTTTAACAGTCACCTTACACAATTTCTAGAATACCCCTAATTACAAGTGAGGACGGATGAGACTTGATTTTGTAGGTGGATTTAGCACCAAGAAACAACCTTAGGGGGACCACGGCCAGAGTGATGTGGTATTTGGCTTGGATGGCTCCCCAAGCCTCAAGCAATCATGGAGGTAGCTGAATCTAGTACTTGTGATTGTCTAGTACTGGGATTGGCGCTATGAGTGGTGCACCTACCCAGGGGTGAGGACCCACCATATACTATAAGGGAAGGACGAAGGCAAGCTCTTTCCCTCTGTTCACTCTTGTTGCTTGCAGCTACCATGAACAGTTATACCATAGCCATGCCACCCTGCCTTCGAGCCAGCCGAGTATGGACTGAAACCTCCAAAAACTCTAAGCTAAATAAACCTCTCCTTCCTTCATTTTGGGCATCAGGTATTCTGTCACAACAAGAGAAAAGTAACCAACACATGTAGGGACTCTCACCTCATGGGATGTGAATGGGACAAGGATGCCAATTCCTCCTGACAAGGTGGTATAGACAAGTGACTCTGAGCCTCCAGGGATCAGCGTGGTCTTCTGTAATGACAGCACCGTCTCCCCAACATGGTAGTTCATGATCACTTCTGCCTGCATGTGGAAAACAGTGTGGAGATTGTGAGTGCCCCAAGAAGCTGTTCTGATTCCCAAGAGCAAACAGTGTTTCCAGATACATTCCATCATCATTAAAATGCAAAAATTACTGAACTTTAAAATTGTGTCTACTAGCCTTGCAAGAAGGCAGTCGTGAGTTCGATCCCCGGTACGGACAAAAAAAAAAAAAAAAAAAATTGTGTCTACTTGCAGCTTAATGTATCAGAAAACATCTGAAAAACAATTATAGTAACTACTATTATTTGTTCTCTAAAACAGATCTATTTTTAAAAGTCTAAAGATAAATATCCTAAACCACCACCTACCTACAGGAGAGTGCAATTAGAACCCAGGGAACAGATGGTTGGTGCTGGCAGTGAACCTCATGGACCTCTTTTCTGAGGACCACACTACTTACTCAAAGAGATTTTTATTAACAGAATGTCTCAGGAAATGTACTAAATGATACAGTGACATGGGCATCATGTCCATTACAGGCCTTCTTATCAGCAATTTAGGGATTTCGGGTTGGAGAGGGCACAGCACAGTTACGTGCATTGTGGGTAATTACTAAAAACCTTCAGTGAGGACAACAGGAAAGGGACTCAAAGAGTCTTTCCCTTCTTCCCTTTCTGCAATCTTACCTTCTGTGAGGCACCATTCAGCAAGCCTCGGTCCCACAGTGCTTTGTTTCCTGTGGGATCTTCATCCACCTCATCATTGGTGTTAGGTGGGAGCCTCACCTACAAAAGTGACACAAATCAGAGGGAAGTCTTCACCTGCTCCCCTAGGTTACCAAGCAGCACTTGCCCTAGGTCTTTTAAAGCAAAGAGGGACACTACCTAGACAGAGGCCCAAGCCTAAGCCACCTGTACCTGTTTTGGGGAGCTGTGAGTGGCAGAAGACTCTCAAGGGTTCAGCACAGCCAAGAGCAAAAACAGACCAAAGAACACAGACAAAAGAAAGCATCTTAAACTTAAAAAGATAAGCCAAGATTCCAGCAAGAAAGAAAAACAAAAATTAGCCTTTAGTTCAAGCTAAACCCATCACTACTGAGTTTAATATCCTTAATTTTAACATCTCACATTAGAGATCATCACACTGGCTCCTTGGCTTTATCAATAGCACAAATTGAGCTTTCCCTCACTTAATTAACTTCAAGGAAACATATTAACTCACCACACAAATGTTGCCAAACTTGTCTGCCCCAGCCACAGTGTCATAGTCCAGGAGACTTGCTGTAGTGACCCATCGGGGGTAGGTGTCGTCAGCAAAGATGATGAGCTGGTTCTCATTACGCTTGTAGCGAACCCAGATGAAACTTTCTTGAACATCAGACACAATTACCCTGTGCCCAATAGTCTGGATTCCAGATATATAATTGGCAATGTGCTAGGGTAAAACAAGGACAGCAATGGGTATAATCCTGGAATTCAAAACCCACAGCTTTCTCTGACCATAACAAATATACAACAGCACACAGCAAAGAATATCAGTCACAATAAATTGCTAGCCAGACATGGTGGCACAAGCCTGTAATCTCAGCAATTGAGAGTCTAAGGCAAGGAAGATCACTGCAAGTTTAAGATGAGCCTGGGCTACAAAGTGAGCTCAAGGCCAGCCTGAACTGCTAAGTAAAACCCCATCTCATAAAGACAAAGAAACAAAACAAACAAAAATAAACAAACAATAAATTGATTAGCGTGACAGGGCACACTTGCAATCCCTGCACTGCAACACTGAGCAAGGACAGCTGTAAGTTCAGCACCAGCCTGGACTACTTAATGAGCCCAATGCCAGCCTGAAATATACAATGAGACCCAATCTCAAAAAAAAAAAAAAAAAAAAAAGTAAAAAAAATAAAATGCCTAAAAGATGAGAAAAAGAGCTATTTTTCAAATAGAGTGGAAATATATGCTCAACCTTTACAGTTAAATTTCTAACCCTGGTTTAAAGAAGCTGAGAAATGTGATCTATTCCCGCTTTTCTAAAGCAAGACTAAACGGCCAAATTCTGTGGTTGGAATTGGGGAAACATAACATGGTCTTAATAAAATCATGATTTTTTGTTTTTGGG